CACAGGTTGGAGAACAGCCTGGGCAACTTGGCAAGACCTCATCTCTACAACAACAACAAAATTAGCTGGGCATGGTGGCATGTGACTGTAGTTCCAGTTACTTGGAAGGTTGAGATGGAAGGTTGACTGAGCCTAGCAGGCTGAGACCCCAGCCTGAGCAACAGAGTAAGACTCCAACTAAAAAAAAAAAAATAATAATGTGGGAATCCGAGGGCAGAGTATTTCAGGCAGAATGAACAGCAATTGCAAAGACTCCAAGGGTGAGCAATCTTTCTTTGTTTTATTTAATTTTTTTCCCCCAGGCTGGAATGCAGTAGCACGCTCACAGCCACTGCAGCCTTGACCTCCTGGGTTCAGGTGATCCTTCTGCCTCAGTCTTCCAAGTAGCTGGAACCACAGACATGCGACCACCATGCCCGGCTGATTTTTTAATTTATTGTGGACATGAGGTCTCACCAAATTGCCCAGGCTAGTCTTGAACCTGCAGGCTCAGGCAATCCTCTCACCTTGGCCTCCCAAAGTGCTGGGATTATAGGCATGAGCCACCATGCCAGGCCCCCCCCCCCCCCTTTTTTTTTTTGCTTTAATGTCTGTTTGTCATTAAATTGTTAACTCCAAGAAGATGGGGACTTAACATTGTCTTATCAATTCTGCTTTCCATTTTACCTCAGCACCACACACAGTACCTAGCTCAATAAATACCTGCTCAATGGAGTAAGTGAATTAGTGTTTAAAGAAAAAAACAAAAACCTATCCCCAAGTAATAAAAACGTTACCTCAAGTTATCAAGGCTTCTGCAGAGGCTGTTACACAGGTTTCACATTTACTAATAAAGCTTATGATCAAAGTGAACACAAAACAACTTCAGGAGAGATCCTAACAATAACATGAAGAGCCCTACCAAGGCAGAGAGAGGTAAAAGCATTAAAAGTAGAAAACTAAGACCTGTCCAAGAGCACAAAGTAATCAACAAAGTCAATCTGAACAGAAAATCAGAATTAATTATTTATTCCAATTACTTGCCTCAACTCATTCACAGGTCCATCAGTTAAAAGATTTTGTTGAATGAACTGATTCGCTCCACAACCATAGCCTTGGTTCTGCCCTTAAATCTTGAAGTATCATGATAGCTTCCTAACTGGTCTGTCCCAGATCAAATCATTGTGAAGAGTGCTCTGGGTTAATGTTAAAACCATTTGTTTGTTTGTTTGTTGTTGGAGTCTCACTCTGTAGTATTGGCACAATCATGGCTACCGCAGCCTAACCTGTTGGGCTCAGGCGATCCTTGTGCCTCCGCCTTCCAAGTAGCTGGGACTACAAGTGCACACAACCATACCCAGCTAATTTTTTGATTTATTGTAGAGATGAGGTCTCGCCATGTTGCCCAGGCTGGTCTTGAATTCCTGAGTTCAGGCAATCCTCTCACTCCACCTCTCAAAGTGCTGGGATTGCAGGCGTGACCCATTGCACCTGGCCTTGAAACAGTTTTTATTACATTACCACCCCAACATGACCACAGCCTCTTTCTCCAACTTTATTCCCAACCAACCTTCAGAAGAACTCCATGCTTCAGCTAAAGTGTTTCCTGAACATGCCTGTGCATTCCTGCTTCCACGTCATCACAACCGCTCTGCTCCTTATCTGGAATGCCACTGGACCTCACCTATCTGAATGTGATCAGTATAAATGAATCCTTCTCTGCCCATCCCCACCAGGGTGAATCATCCCCACCAGGATGAATCATCCCCAAGCGGCTGCAGCACTCACTTGGCCACATCTGCCCTTCTATATTCTTCTCCGTGTCACCAGAACTGAAAGCCTGCATACATTTCTCAGACTTCTTTGCCACCTGGCTTCCAGTTGGGCTCTCAGAGAAACTGTTTTCCTGCTCCAGCCTGTCTCCAGCAGCAGCAGCAGCAGGAGCAGTGAGTGACTATGGAGGAACGCAGGCAACAACACACACACGGGTTCCAGCAGTGTCAGCATGTGCTGGTTTCTGGGTTCCCGGTGAACCACAGCAATATGGCTCCAACAGGACGTAGCAAGTCAGCAGCTCCTGTGCGTGTAGGCTCCTGGGTTCCAGTCCGCCGGAAGCCTCCTGGTCTTTGGGTAACAATCCTCTTGTTCTCCCTTTTTGCTTCTCTAGTCCTTCCAACACCTCTCGTAACAGATCCCTTGCACTGCTTGAACTAGAGTCATTTCTACTTTCCCGATGAGACAACAACTGATATAACAGCAGAGAATGAGGAAATAAAAACAGCAATCTTAAATAAGATGGGAAATGAAATAGAAAATGGCCCCCCCAAAATGTGATTTTTTAAAAAAGGAAATCCCAGAAAATTTTTTCCTAGCCATAGTCCAATTAATTTCTTAGTTATAAAAATTAAGATGCTGGTTTACCTGTATACACACACACACACACACACACACACACACACACACACACACAAATATACAGCTAAAAATATATATATATTTATTTTATTTTTAGAAACCAGGATTTATTGAAAGGGCAGAAAAGTTCCCAGAGCAGGAGGGGACCCAAGGGGTTGCCCCTGTATATTTTAAAAAATAAGTTAATAAGTACATGTCTGTGAGGAAATCAAGTTTCTGCAGAATCCAAAGAATACCTCCATGTTTCCTTGTGTGTTTTTCCAGAACCTCACACACAGTAGGTACTTCTGGTGTCTGCCTGATGACTGTTATCATACTTTGGAATTCATAGAGATTGGGAATAAAAGTCAAGCAAATGGTAACTCTAGTTCTAAAAAACAACTTTAAAACAAATCTCATCCAAAGCACCCAGCAAAGGATTCCAAAGCTCCTTCAGTCCTGAAATTGTAGTGAGGTAAGGTAGGAGTTCAACTGGCACATGGGGCGTGGATTTTTGCCTCTTCCTTGCAGAAGCCACCCCTGAGTCTCTACATTTCTGAGGGCCTCTATTTTTTAGTTAAAGATCTAGCCTGAAAAAACCATTACAAACAAATGCCGAGAACACAGTTTACCTTCTTGAAAAGATGAAGAATTGAATTAAACTGGAGCAGATTCAAATCCCCTGGCTCCTGACAGTCTGTGGGTTTTTAACCTGCTCAGAGATCACTGAGACATCTCTAAGTCTTAAATAACATTCATTTTCAGGTATTATACTAAACCAAGATAAGGATAACATATTGGAAGTCATTTTGTTAAAGGCTAAATCAAAACCACTAACTTCAGGGGTTAACAACTACTAAAAAGACACCTGTGGTCTTTCATGATTTTATCTGCTAACCTAAACTTCCGTTAACCAAAGACACCTCACAAAATGGGCACAGCAGAGAAAATGTAAACCCCAATGAATTAAAAAGAAGCTTGACTCTTGCTGATTTCCAGGCTGTCTGATGAAAATGGGCCATCAGCTGCTGCCATTTTCATTCTTCCTTGACAACATGCCTAATAGATAAATGCTTGAATGCTTTTTGCTAGTCTATTATTATTTCTAGAAACCTTTCCATAGGAAACCATGCCCTACAATCCAATATGAACATTTTTTCAAGTACTGTATTAGGTCCAGTAAGTTCCTTTCAGAGAATGTAATATTCTGGTAAAATAGGATTCACCGAATACTTTATAGATAATAAACTCTCAACAAAATAGAATATACAAAAATATATCTAGCAATTACCATAGACTAATCACATCTTTCTCTGATAATTAAAGTCACAAGCTGGGCTCAGTGGCTCAGCCTGTAATCCGGCGCCTTGGGAGGCTGAGGTGAGTAGATTGCCTGAGCCCACGGGTTCGAGACCCGCCTAAGCAAGTTGGCGAGAACTCATCCCTACAATCATTCAAAAAAATCAGCCGGGCATGGTAGCGCGTGCCTGTAATTCCAGCTACTTGGAAGGCTGAGGCGGAAGGATCGCCGGAGCCCAGCAGGTCGAGGCTGTGGTGACTGGGAGCGGCCACTGCACTCCAGTCTAGGCGACAGAGCGAGACTCCAACTCAGAAAAAAAAAAATTAAAGTCACAAAGAAGGCTGCTTCAGGTTCATCACTTATTTGATATTTCTTGAGAGCCTTCTTGGGGTCAGGTAAGAAAAAAAAGGACAATCAGAGTACCATGCCTATGTGAAATCTCCTACTGTACAATAAGTGGACTAAGCAAAGAAACAGGAGATGCCCTGGAACCATCTTTAAATTCTTTCTCCTGCAACAGCTGTTTTCTCACTTAGTCACCTCGCTTTCATCTAAGTAATAATAGAAAATAATCCCTTTATGAGCAAGGCATAGTACCAAATAAAAAACATCCATATGTAATTCTTCCCAGTAACCCAACAAGGCAGGTACTATTATAGACTTTATTTTACAGATGAGAAAACAGGCTCACAGAAATCAAGTGACTTCGTTCAAGATCACCCAGCTTTAGTATGGCCTGGCTGCCTGCCTCTGAAGCCCACACATGTGGCTTAACCTCAACAGTGCACTATTGCAAAGAGAGAACGGACAAAAACAGCTGCACAGTTTGAGCTTTCTGGAGAAAACAGAAGCTACTATTGCTATAATCCACTTGCTCTTACACCAAAGCTCTCTACTGGGAAGGTGGAGGGACAGACTCTTATCTACCTAGATGCAAAATCTTTTTTTTTTTTTTTTTTTTTGAGTTAGACTCTCACTCTGTCACTCAGACTGGAGTGCAGTGGCCGCTCCCGGTCACTGCAGCCTCAATCTGCTGGGCTTCGGCGATCCTTCCGCCTCAGCCTTTCAAGTAGCTGGAATTACAGGCATGCGCTACCATGCCCAGCTGATTTTTTTGATTGACTGTAGAGATGAGGTCTCGCCAAGTTGCCCAGGCGGGTCTCGAACCCGCAGGCTCAGGCAATCCACTCACCTTAGCCTCCCAAAGGGCGGGATTACAGGCTGAGCCACTGAGCCAGGCTTAGATGCAAAATCTTAATAATATACTCCCCACAATACTTTATGTGTATACGTTAAGTTGCTCAAAGTGCTATTAAATATTACATACCTTGCCTTACTGCTTCTTAATTCCACCTGGGAAAGGTAGGTATTCTCTTCACTCCACAGACAAGACACTGGGACCTGGAGATTAAATGATTTGTCCAAGGTCAGAGGATTCAATCTGCTGTCTCCTCAATGGGAATGTTGATATCACCAAAGCCTCACTGAAGAAACAGAATTTCTACCATAGTGAACCACAAAGACCATTTCCAAAATAAGACTTAACGAGAAATGGCTGATTTTAAATTTCAGTAACTTACTATGAAGAATTAAGGCTGGGCTCGGTGGCTCAGCCTGTAATCCCAGCACTTTGGGAGGCCAAGGTGAGGGGACTGCCTGAGCCCGCGGGCTTGAGACCCGCCTGGGCAACTTGGCAAGACCTCATCTCTACAATAAAATCAAAAATTGGCCGGGCGTGGTAGCACGCACCTGTAGTTCCAGCTACTTGGAAGGCTGAGGCGGAAGGATCGCCGGAGCCCGGCAGGTCGAGGCTGTGGTGGCCGGGAACGGCCACTGCACTCCAGTCTGGGTGACAGAGAGAGACTACAACTCAAAAAAAAAAAGGCCACGCTCAGTGGCTCAGCCTGTAATCCCGCGCCTTGGGAGGCTGAGGTGGGTGGATTGCCTAAGCCCGCAAGTTCGAGACCCGCCTGGGCAACTTGGCGAGACCTCATCTCTACAATAAAATCAAAAATTGGCCGGGCGTGGTAGCACGCACCTGTAGTTCCAGCTACTTGGAAGGCTGAGGC